CAGGAAGAATTCATGTGTGTATGTGGATAGTTTATAGCAGGAAGAATTCATGTGTGTATGTGGGTGGTTTATAACAGGAAGAATTCATGTGTGTACGTGGATAGTTTATAACAGGAAGAATTCATGTGTGTATGTTGGTAGTTTATAACAGGAAGAATTCATGTGTGCATGGGGGTGGTTTATAACAAGAAGAATTCATGTGTGTATGTGGGTGGTTTATAACAGGAAGAATTCATGTTGTATTTGGGGATGGGTGGTTGTGTGTACGAGTATATGTGTTTGTATGTACATATGTATGCTTATGTATATGTATGAATGTGTTTGTGCATGTGTGCATATGTGGGGTTGTTTCTGTCTGTGTATATGAATATACAAGGGGTGTGTATGTGTGTTGGGATGGGTGTGTATATGTATGTATGTACAGAGGATATGTATGTGTGTTGGGGTGGGTGCATATTCATGTTGGAGTTAGCATGTAAATGTGTGTATGTGGGGGGTGCACACGCATGTGGAGGCCCCAAGTTGATGTCAGGTGTCCCAGTTACTGTGCTATTGCTGTGAAGAGAGACCATGGCCGAGGCTGCTCTTATAAAAGAAAGCATTTAATTGGAGCCTTGCTTGCAGTTTTAGAGGGTTATATTTGACCATCATGGCAGGAAGCAGACAGGCATGGTGCTGGAGCAGTAGATGAGAGCTTTACATCCTGACCTGCAGATAGTAGGGGGAGGGGCAGGTAGGGAGAGAGAGGGAACCTGGTGAAGACTTTTGAAACCTCAAAGCTCACCCCCAGTGACACACCTCCCCCAACAAGGTTACACCTACTCTGACAAGGCACACCTCTTAATCTGTCCCTAACCAGTCCACCAACTAGCAATTAGACATTCAAACACACGAGCCTATGGGAGCCATCCTCACTCAAACCATCACGTCGATGTCTTCCTCAGTTGCTCTCTACCTTTTAGATTTAGGCAAGGTTTCTTGCTGAAGCTACCTATCACCATTTCTAGTTTAACTAGTCAGCTTGGCACAGGGATCCCCGTCCCTGACTCCCGAGGATTAGGATTACAGATGGCCACCTGGTTTTCACATGGGTTTAGGGATCTGGACTCGGTCCTTATACTTGCATGGTAAATGCGTGTACAATGAGCCTTCTCCACATTCCCAACAGTTTTAGTAAATGAATCTTGATTCACCAGCGGATTAATAGCTGATAAACAAATTGTATTAGCATTCCCAGGCGCACCATGCATGGGCTGGGAGCAGTGGGGCCAGGGGCAGCGACCAATGTTAGAGACAGTTGCCTCAGAATAGCAAACAGCGGCAACAACACTTGGTTCCATTACCCAGATCTGGTTACCAAATCGGTGCTCTTTGAGACTGGGTTGAACAGCCCTCCAGGAAAACGGAACCAACCATTGAACATATATATTCTCTCTCTCTCCCACCAGAAGGAAACTCCCTGAACAAGGAAAAGCCCCGAGACCCAGGCCCCAGAATGTCTTTTGCTTCTGCTGTGCCTTTACACATCTGCTGCTGCTGTCTTTCTCTGGTATCAGACATGGTGTGAATGGGTGTGGGGAGATCCCCACTGCCTGCAATGTAGTGTGTTTATCTCATAGAAACATCCCATTCTACTGGGCATTTTTACCTATGGATTGTTATGAAGATGATTCCTCATTAAGTTATATTGTCTAATTGATAATAATAATGTTAGCTTATACAGAGTTTTTGATAAATAAAAATAAATACAAGGAAATGTTATACAGCGAGGGTCAATGAGCTTTACCTAAGGAGCTGCATAGATCACAGTTCAGGTAAGTGATTAAGGAAAATAATTTGAGTCTCAGGAGCCAGGCTGGCTCTAATTCTCTTAATGCTGAAAGACCCAGTCATAGGTTTCAGTGTGCACCATCAGCTGAAACAAAGTCTTAAAATAACTTCAGGTTAGATCAGATGCTTTGATAATTGTGTGTGTGTGTGTGTGTGTGTGTGTGTGTGTGTGTGTGTGTATGGTCATTTATTTGTTCTAAAACATGTTTATGTTATTATTTTACACAGTGAAATATGAACACAAAGAAACCCCCCACAACAAAACAACTTCACATTAAGAAACTGACGTTAAATGCTTTGAGAGGGCTCCATGAAAGCAGGTCAGTAAAAACTAAAGAATAAAGACTGTTGGCAAATTACCTGTAGGCTACAAAACCATAAAAGATTAGGAAAACAAATTTCAAAACCTAAAATAACTCGTGACTGATACTGTAGTTCTCTTACTATAGGAAAGCAAGGCAAGGTGGCTCAGTGGTTAAGGGCACTGAGTTCTCTTCCAGATGACCTGGGCTTGATTCCCAGTGCCCACTGGGTAGCTTATCACTATCTGTAAGTCTAGTCCCAGAGGACCCAATGCTGTCTTCTGGTCTCCATGGGCACCAGGCACACATGTGGGACACAGGCATTAAATAAATTAATTTTAATGAAAAGAAAGAAAATGGCTAGAAGTCATAAACCAGTGTCTGAAGGGTGGGGCTATCCCAGGAAGAACTAGGGATTTCAGAGGACTGGCACACTAAGCCAGATATCTACTGACTGGGAATGAGTGTAATGATCCACCTGACTTAAAAATAAATGTTTAAAAGATATGAGTTTACTAAATTCAATCAAATCTCATAAAAGCCAAACTTTTTTTTTAATGTGGCCAATTTTAAAATACAGTGGAATGGGATGAATTATCCAATAATCTGAATGTTATAAATTCATTGCATTCATTAATAAAGGGAGGTATCACAAAGCACATCCCCAATGTGTCAAAGAATACAACCAGAATGTTGAGTACTCTAACTCAATTAGAGCAAAGCATAAAAATGAGTCTCTTGTAGCAAGAGCTACCTACTTAAACGATGAGGCTTTACCATCACCCGGGAGAACTGTCATCGCTGAAGCTTTTCCTGCCTCCATGGCCGCTGCTGCCCCCTCTGCCTCACCACACTGATCTCTCATCCCATGGCTTCTCTGTCTGCCTCAGTAAACTCCCGAGACAATTCCTTATGTGTCCCTGTGTATGTGAGCCTGTTGGCTAGACCCTGAGCGCCAGCCCTTTCTTGGTAT